AGGAGAATTGCTTGAACCTGGGAGGCAGAGGTTGCAGTGAGCCGAGATCGTGCCACTGCACTCCAGCCTGGCAACAGACTGAGACTCTGTCTCAAAAAAAAAAATGCAAGTTCTTAACTGTCACTCATGTGTCCATGAAGACTGTCCCTACTAGGAAAGGACATGGAAAATTAATTCGATAATTAAAAAGTAAACTGTATTTCTGGGTAATAATAAGTAATTTGTACTTTCTATTTGTATGTACTTTGTCTATGTGCTTATACACAGACCTTCTTTCTATTCCAACGGAATATGAGTTCTTTGAGGAGTTGTGAGTTTCTGTTTTGAAACATAAGATGTTCTTCCCGAGTCTAGAAGACAGTGGGAGTTGTCAGTATTCCTGACTACCTATACTGTTTATGCTACTACTTAGAGAAGGACTACTGATCATCGTCTACTTTTAGCCTGTATCAACAGCAACCTGATCGCCTCAGCTTCCCACATCATTTCAAGAAAGCTGAGTGACTAGGAGGTTGATGCAGGAGTATCACTGAAGCTAGGATTTTGACACCAGCCTGAGCAACAACATAGCAAGACTGTCTCTTAAAAAAAAAAAAAAATGAATGAGACATGGTGAGTGCACACCTGTAGTCCTAGCTACTTGAGAGGATTACTGGAGCCCAGGACTTGAAGGTTACAGTGAGCTATGATCGTACCACTGCACTTCAGCCTGGGTGGCAAAGTGAGGCCTCATCTCTTTACAAAAGAAAAAACAGTCGGGCGCAGTGGCTCACGCCTCTAATCCCAGCACTTTGGGAGGCCGAGGCGGGTGGATCACGAGGTCAAGAGATCGAGACCATGCTGGCCAACATGGTGAAACTCCGTCTCTACTAAAAATATAAAAATTAGCTGGGCATGGTGGTGTGCGCCTGTAATCCCAGCTACTCGAAAGGCTGAGGCAGGAGAATGACTTGAACCCGGGAGGCGGAGGCTGCAGTGAGTCAAGATTGCACCACTGCACTCCAGCCTGAGCAACAAGAGCGAAACTCTGTTTAAAAAAAAAAAAAAAAAGCAGAAGGAAAAAAAAAAAGAAAGCTGGAATGACAAATATATCTTGCTCAATTAGATAGTGAAACAGGAGCAGTACTACACTTGTCTGTATATCACTCAGGTGTCCTCCATTCTCACCCTCCAACTCACCTACCCATAAGGAGGTTCCTTCCTGGAAGGAAGATACCACTTGGTTAGGTTGACTGCTGCCAGCAAAAGGTGTCAGAAGCGCCCTATGACAGCAGAACCATTTTTGCTCTGTCCTCTTATAAGACTACCAGGGCTTTGGGGAACACATTATGATGGACCTTCCAAAAGCGTAATGCAAGAGGCAGAAATCCTATTAATATAAAATATGACAATGGTCCACACAGGCCACTCAACACAAGTATTCCACCTAAGCCAATATTCTTTCTACAAAGGTGCCACCACTAAAATATATGATCCATGTGTTGTAAGTGTCCTAAATATGTAATCTTCTTTCAATCATTCAATAGAATGTGCCTGTATACGCCAGTTGATGCCCTTGAAGATAGTTTACTGGGTTGACTCACTGGTTTATTTCTAATTCCTGGCATATGGCAGCTATTCAGTCATTGCTAAATGAATAAATAAATGAGTAGCAATAAACAGTAAGAAGTGACTTCTGCTTTTTTGTTTTGTTTTGTTACAGAACAGGAAACCTGTAAGAAACAGTGCGTGTTTTCAAGCCTAGCATCTAGAGGGCAATATAGACAACAAAACAATACAGAATGAGAAATGCTACAAAGTAGGAAAGGGTATAAGAGGAGCTTATAGGCTGGGCACCTGTAATCCCAGCACTTTGGGAGGTGAGCAAATCACCGGAGGTCAGGAGTTTGAGACCAGTCTGGCCAACATAGTGATACCCCATCTCTACTAAAAATACAAAACTTAGCTAGGCATGGTGGCACGTGCCTGTAATCCTAGCTACTTGGGAGGCTGATGCATAAGAATCACTTGACTCCAGGGGATGGAGGTTGCGATGAGCCAAGATTGCGCCACTGCACTCCAACCTGGGTAACAGAGTAAGACTTTGTCTTTAAAAAAAAAAAAAAAGAGAAAGAAGAGCATATAGGGGGAATATATACCCTAACTTTGGTGAGTGGTGATGAATATGGGCTTCCTAGAGGAAGGGAACTCTAAGCTGAGATCTGAAGAATGAGTAAAAATTAACCAATAGCTGGGCCCCTCCTTACTTTATGCAATGGAGAAGCAAGTAAGTTCTAAGAGCATATAAAGGCCCAGAGGAAAGTGAGAGCACAGTTTAGCCAATAAACTAAAAGGAATCAATATAAGCAGATGCTCAAGTATAAAGGAAAGTAACCGATAAGGCCAAATAAGTAGACTAGATCCCAGTGGGTAGGGGCTGAGAGGAGAGTTAACCATGTAATCTTGAGGGCAACAGGGAATCATAAAAAGGGTTAAGCAAGGATACGGCATTTTAGAACGATTCCTTAGTAGTAAGGACAATGGACTGGAAGGTAAAAACCAAGAGGCAAGAAGACCAGTAGAAGCTACTATAATAATACCAGTGAAAGCAGATAGTGGTTCTAAACTACAATAATATCTCAATAAAGATGAAGAAGTGTAGCTGACTTTGAAAGAAATAAAATTAGCATGAGATCTGATGCTTGATTTGACGTGGGAGAGTGAGAGAGAAAATGGAATCTAGGATGATGTCTAGTTCAGACAATGAAGTGGGAATAAAGGAAAGAGAATGTTTGATTGTGGGAGGAGTATCATAGGAAACAGGAGTTCCATTTTCAGGCTGATGTGCTTGTGGGCTCAAGTTGCAAATAGGCAGACAGATTTATATACTGGTTTGAAGCTCAGGACAGGAATCAGGGCTAGAAGGAAATGCATACACAGAATTCATTAGTGCAAATGGCAATTACAGTGTTGTGAGTAGATGAGACTACCCAAGGAAAGTATGTTCTGAAAGATAAAAAGAGGGCCTAGGATACACCTGGAAGCATCAGTATTTGAAAAGCTGGCCAGGGGAAAGTAAAAAGGTGGTCAGGGCAGAGTAGTAGTATGGAAATCAAGGGACAAAGTATTTCAAGAGGATTGGCCAACAGTGTCAAAGCTGCTGAGACATCAAAGAAGATACAAACTGAGAGGTTCTCACTGGATTTAGGGACAAGGTGATTGTGGTTACTTGCTTAGGGCAGGAGAGATTTCTCTAGCATAGTGAGGATAAGCTAACACCCTTACCTTCATCTTCTCACAGTGCTTGTCCAGTTTCTCTGGGGCTTGATTCACCCCCATGTAACCATCAGTGGTGTCCAAGGTTCCTTTCTCCAAACTAGCTCTCGAGAGCTGCTCCATTCCTGGAAGGTTGGTCAGCAGCTGTCCACCAGATGATCCTACTGAAGTTACCCAATCCAGGAGAGCATCGATTTTCTTCTTGTTCTCTGCCAGTTCCTTTGCTGCTTTACTCTGAAGTCACAGAGGTTGTCTAGTGAGAAGGCTTTACATACCCAATCAACAACCACAGGTTAAGTAATGGGGTAAAGGGGAGGAGATAATTTTATGCTAATTCTAAGACTGGGTATAAACAGTCTTTGCACATACAAAAGAGAATTCACATCTTTTAAAATCTTTTGAAAAATTATTAAAAATATCTCTACATTTCATTATATCTTACTGCTTAAAAAACAAAAAAAAAGAGGCAGGACACAGTGGCTCATGCCTGTTATCCCAGCACTTTGGGAGGTCTGGTGGATCACTTGAGGATCAGGAGTTTGAGACCAGCCTGGTCAACATGGTGAAACCCCATCTCTACTAAAAATACAAAAAATTATCTGGGTGTGGTGGTGCACACCTGTAGACCCAGCTACTCGGGAGGCTGAGGCACGAGTATCATTTGAACCTGGGAGGTGGAGGATGCAGTGAGCCAAGATTGTGCCACTGCACTCCAGCTTGGGTGACACAGCAATACTCTGTTTCAAAACAAAACAAATCTTAGGATTCAGAAATATTTTATTAAGAGATCATTTAGTCCTGCCACCTGAGCAATGCTTCACAGAATCTTTCAAGGTACACAGAAGTGCTGGACTGGCTTGGTAGGGTAAGAAATAGCACGGTCATATTCAATTACCTGGCTGCTCTTTCCTAAAGGAAAGACAAACTTCTTTTATCCTTTCCTCAACTAAACAGAACATTTAGCTCTTTTCAAATTTTTTCTCTCACCTGAGGCTATAGGGAAACATTTAATTCTTCAACTTGCCTTTGAAATTCTATTTACTGGCTCTACATGTAAAATTAAATAGGTTATGCCAAGTTATATATTTATCTATTTCAAAATTCATCTCCAGGGCTGGGCACGGTGGCTCATGCCTGTAATCCCAGCACTTCGGGAGGCCGAGGTGGGCAGATCACGAGGTCAGGAGATCGAGACCATCCTGGCTAACACAGTGAAACCCCGTCTCTACTAAAAAAAACCACAAAATATTAGCCAGGCGAGGTGGCGGGCGCCTGTAGTCCCAGCTACTTGGGAGGCTGAGGCAGGAGAATGGCGTGAACCTGGGAGGCAGAGCTTGCAGTGAGCCGAGATTGCGCCACTGTACTCCAGCCTGGGCGACAGAGCAAGACTCTGTCTCAAAAAAAAAAAAAAAATTCATCTTCAGGTAATTTATTTTTCTTTTCCATGTTCTCTACTTTCCTCATTAGTGTCAGCATCCAAGGCTAAACAAAGGATTCAAATTCAATCCGCCAGTGCTGACTGGGGTGCAGAAGACCATTTGAGACTTTGGCTTCTCTGGTTTATCCCAGTGCCACGATTCCCACTGTAACTATAGAGGCAGCTCCGGAACAGCTTTTGGCTCACTAAGACTTCATAGATATTTTTCCCTAGTACTCTTAGATCACCAGTCTAGATTCATATTAAAATACGTCATTTGGCCGGGCACAGTGGCTCACACCTGTAATCCCAGCACTTTGGGAGGCCAAGGCAGGAGAATCACTTGAGGTCAGGAGTTTGAGACCAGCCTGGTCAACATGGTGAAACCCCGTCTCTACTAAAAATACAAAAATTAGCCGGGTGTGGTGGCATGCGCCTGTAGTCCCAGCTACTCACGAGGCTGAGGCACGAGAATCACTTGAACCCAGAAGGCGGAGGTTGCAGTGAGCTAAGATTGTACCACTGTACTCCAGTCTCAGCAACAGAGCAAAACTCTGTCTCAAAAAAAAAAAAAAAAAAACCATTTGCTTTTTTCCTCCCCATAATAATACCCTTCCTCACTAAGTTCTTTCTGATATTTTTAAATTAGAGGACTGAGTATGCAGATAGCAAGATGTTTTGGGGTTGGGGGAGGAATATGTACTTTTTACCAACTGCACTGACAAACTCCTTTACAAACTCCTCGTGGACGTTTCTTGTAAAAATAAAGATTCTTGTAAAAATACAGACTAGCCAGCCTGGCCAACCTGGTGAAATCCCATCTCTACTAAAAACACAAAAATTAGCTAGGCATGGTGACGGGCACCTGTAATCCCAGCTACTTGGGAGGCTGAGGCTGAGGCAGGAGAATCACTTGAACCCGGCAGGCAGAGGTTGCAGTAAGCCGAGGTCATGCCACTGCACTCCAGCCTGGGTGACAGAGATTCCGTCTCAAAAAACAAAAACCAGACTAGCTCCTGAAGTAGCCCTTTCTCATGATTCTGTGCATGCTATAAGACTGTTTTCCCCTCATTGTCTTTTGTGTTGGTACCAAAATTCTTTTTTGAAAACTATCAACTGTCATAGCAGTTTATTACCTTTTCAGTCTCCTGCTGTAAGGCAGAGGTCACTGCTTCCTCCAGCTCCTTCTGGGCCACCCGTGTCTGTTCCCGGAGCGCCTCATATTGCTCCTTAGCCTGATGAAGCTTTTCCCGAAGAGCTGTCAACTCATGTGGGCTCAGCTTGGTCTGATTCTCTTCCATGAACCCCTCAATATCCTTGACAACAGCGGCAAATGAGGTGGCATGATTCTGAATGTCATCCTGTAAATCCTTAACACAAGAAAATAGGAATGGCAGAGCCTTCAACTTTCGTGCTTCTAAGTCCTCTAATGGTATAAAGATGGAATGGCTAGGATGACATATAGTCCTGTATATAGTCCCTGACTACAATTTTTTTTCAGGTGTAGGCTTAAATCGATGCAAAGAAATTTTACTTCATTTTCTAAGCAAATATTTAGTGAAGCCAAAAAAGAAGGTTGTCCACAAACATGAGCATGAGAGATTTTTCATTTTGCAATGCATTATCCTCAAAGGGATCATTCTTTCCATAAAGAATTGTTGACAACATGATCTTAGCATAGTCGAGGCTTGATGGGCCTTTATACTCTCTTGGGTATCACTCCTTATCCTTAATGTGGCCTATAGGGTCCTGTGTGATGTAAGTTCCACTTACCCCTCCAACTTCAACTTTCCCTAATTTTCCTCTTTTTCTTTGCAGTCCAATTGAACTAGCTTTCTTTCAGTTCTTGAATATGTTGTGCTCAATACTATTCCCACCTCAAGAACAATACATAAGCCTCTGCCTGGTATGTTCTCTTCCTCTTCCTACCTCTTCATGCATTAACCCCTACATATCTTTCATTTCTCAAGTTTAGGTGACAATTCTTCAAGATAATCTTTTCTGAAATTCTACTCTAGATTGGGTCTCTCTGCTATATGTTCTCATATGAGTTTTCCTTCACAGATATAACAGTTAATAATTTTATGTTCATTTTTATAATAATCTGTATAATTTCTGTATGCCCTACGAGACTTGTGCTAGACTTGTGTGCTTCACAAGGCCAGGGATGATGTCTGTTTACCATTATTGCTAACCCTTAAGCAATAAATATTTGTCGAAGGAATGAAAACATCGCCAGGCACGGTGGCTCACGCCTGTTATCCTAACATTTTGAGAAGCCAAGGCCAAGGTAGGAGGATTGCTTGAGCCCAGAGTTCGACACCAGCTTTGGCAACATAGTGATACCCCATCTCTACAAAATAAATAAAAAATTAGGACATAGTGGCTCATGACTTTGTCCCAGCCCCTGGGCAGGCTGAGGTGGGAGGATTGCCTGAGCCCAGGAGGTCGAAGCTGCAGTGAACCAAGATAATGCCACTGGACTCCAGCCTGAGCAATAGAGTGAGACTTTGTGTCAAAACTGATGGATTCACACTGACCTTCAAGTCACTCTGGTTCTTCTGCAAAGCAGAGAGATCCTGCCGGGTGGTTCTGCCTTGGTGGCCTGCCAGTGCTCTTTCTGCCTGTCCTACCCAACTGCAAAGATCCTCCAGTTGCTGGTGACAAGTATTTTGTTGTTTCTGCAGGGTCTAATTAAAATGCAAAGGGGTCAAAAAACATTTACTAATTCACATGTTACAAATACAAGAAACTCCCTGAAATGTAAAACAAGAAGGTTATCTCAAGGATGGAAACGTTGGTGGGAGACTAGAATAGGAAAAGACACAGAAGTCATATTCGGAAAGCTCCCCTCATTTGGACAGTCCATTGATCTGGGTCTATGTATTGGATAACAATCAGGATAATTATGAGAATGCTTCTAGTTCAGGTTTTGGTTTGGGGGCTCCTTCACCAGACTGCTGTTATTATCTTTGGAAATGGAGAAGAAAGAGCCCAGATGCTTGAAATCCACACATGATAATGGTGATGATAATAATTTAGTGGTTCTGATCAATCCCTCCACTAGAACCAGAGACTTGCTACATAATATGCAAAAGTAGAAGAATTGGAGTAGAAAGAAAAATCAAAGACCTGGATAATTCATAAGTTAATTGAGCTTCTTAATAATTGAGCTGACTTTCTAAATCAAATATCTCATCAATCCAGAGACTCATTAAATAAAATGATTACATGCCAGGCATGAAGGGCTAGATTTGGCTATTTTGAGAAGGAAAGTGCCCAAGAATAGCAACTGGCTCAGTCCTGTAGGTGTCTACACTAATATCAAAGGAACAGGTCAGGCCCAAGGAGAGAGAGGGAATATGTTTCTGTGCCTGATCCTTTCTCTAGATTTTATCTCAGTTGTATGACATTGAAGCACCTGACTGAGCAATTGAGCATGATGTGTTCTCCTGACCATCCTTCTAAAACCATTTTCCACCAGTTTCTACCTTCTGATGGCGTTTTAGTCACCTGCACTTACAAACAGGTGCCCAACTGGCCCTCTCTCCCCCTCTTTAGGACAAATAGAAGGGCTCTGGAAGAGAACTCCTAAGAGCTCTTCAGCTGTAAAACAGGATCTTCATGGGTTAGGATGGGTGCAGACTGAATCTGAAAAAAGCAAAGCAAACAAGTTAACACAGAGACATACACACACATTCAGGGGAAATATTGAGAGAAGCAGAGCATTTCTGACAATAACAAGGTTAATAAGCATTGTGGAATTAATTACATGCTCAGGGAGAATGTTCACATGCAGTTCTATCACCTGCTGCAGCTCAGGCGTCTACCCTGAATCTGGGCTGGATCTTGTCTTAAGGTGGCTCAGACGAATTTTACTTCATTAATTATCCAAAGGTTATATCATGCTATATAAACTCCCGAATGAGAGCATTGCACATGCTCAGTTTTCGAAGGTAACCTAAGGCTTTCCATTAGTATATCTCAATTTCAATACAGTTGAAAAAATGAGACAGTAAAAGGGGACATATGGCATAAACTACCCTAATTCCCCTAAAGTCTGACTCAAAAGCTCAAGTTTTTGCACAATATTTAATAAAGGAGCCCTTGAGACAAATTTTATGGTGATAATGACAATTCTAATATCATCTTGTTATATGCCAACTTACTATTCAAACAGCAGAAATGGCATGAACATCATTCTAGGTATTCTAAGGTTTTGATGTTATTATTAATGCAATTATGTTGAGCTGAGCTTTGCAAGAAGTGAGTTGTGATGGAAGATGGTAGGATGGTTAGTTTTTTGATTGTTTCTTTTAGTATCATGCCTGCTTCTACATACTGTTTTCCATGATTGAATAAGCACTGGGCACTACAGTGTGAGGAAAGGTGCAAGAAAATAATATTAATTTTTAAAGAGCCAAAAATTAATATGATTCTAATAAAAATTTCCTTGTCAGCCACTTAAGGATTGTCAGGGAACCTTACTGTAAATCATTTGAAATAGATGAAATAGAATGAAACTGATTTCAGAATGCTTCTCCTCAAGAGCTCAGAGTATCTAGATGTTCTTACGAGCCCTCAAAACAATGCTAAAGGAGAAAGTAAAGTAGGGAAAGGACTAGATACATGATTTTCATTTGAAAGTCACAGACAATGAGATACAGTGAAGAAAAAGTCTCACTAAAAGAAAACACTTGCATATGCATACACATGTCAACACACACATTCTCTCACACATACATAAAACCAAAGACATGGCAAGAAAAACAGCCAGAACAGGTGTCTCCTGGACTAGAACCATACTGGCCTGCATGACATGAAATTTCAAAACTGGTAAACCCAAGCTCCTGCAATCATGATGCACAAAGTCTGGCCAGAAAACCCAATGACAGAGGACACCCTCACAGACAAACTGAGCCCAGCTGCTGGTTCAGTCTGACCTTCACCAGGGCCTCCTGCTCCATCTGTTGAAGATGGCCCTGCAAGGCATCCACCTGAGCTGCAGTCTGTTCCAAAATTTCCTGGAAGGACCTCTGCAGTTCATTGAGAAGCCTCAGCATCTGTCGATTCTGCTGAGGGGACAAGTCCTGGGCATGTTCTGAGATAAAGAACTGAACATCAAAAGCAAGAGCATCCAGCTGAGATTTCCTTTCAGCTATGGGCTGTTTCAAATCCTAAGGTAAATGGAAAAAGGAAACAAAAAGCAAAACAAAACCATGATACTTCCATTTCTCAGTCCATGAAGAAAACTAACAGAATCAGAGAGGCTAATTTCCTGTACTCTCATAACTGGCACTAATGATTCTAGGGCCAAACTAGAATTAAAGTCTCTCTTGGCTGGGCACGGTGGCTCATGCTTGTAATCCCAGCACTTTGGGAGGCCAAGGTGGGCAGATCACAAGGTCAGAAGATCGAGACCATCCTGGCTAACACGGTGAAACTCCTTCTCTACTAGAAGTACAAAAAATTAGCTGGGCGTGGTGGCGGGTGCCTGTAGTCCCAGCTACTTGGGAGGCTGAGGCAGGAGAATGGCGTGAACCCGGGAGGCGGAGCGTGCAGTAAGCCGAGATTGCGTCACTGCACTCCAGCCTGGGCGACAGAGCGAAACTCCATCTCAAAAAAAAAAAATAATAATAAATAAATAAATAAATAAATTCACAGATATTTTGGATTAGCAATAGTATAATTATGCAAGCATAAATAATAGAGCTGCTTACTGCATTTGGAAATCAAGGTAGGTCCAGTAAAGGAAACTTAATTCTAATTTATGAGGAGTTTGGAGAGACCGAAAGTGAGAGAGACCTTTTTTTTTTTGAGATGGAGTCTCGCTCCGTTGCCCAGGCTGGAGTGCAGTGGTACAATCTCGGCTCATTGCAACCTCTACCTCACTGGTTCAAGCAATTCTTGTGCCTCTACCTTCTGAGTAGCTAGGCCTACAGGTGCACACCACCATGCCCGGCTAATTTTTTGTACTTTTAGTAGAGATAGGGTTTTGCCATGTTGGCCAGGCTTGTCTTGAACTCCTGGCCTCAAGTGATCCGCCCTCCTTGGCCTCCCAAAGTGCTGAGATTACAGGAGTGAGTCACCGCGCCTGGCCATAAATTTTTTCAAAAAGTTTTGGAAAATATAACATGAATTTCTGATCTGAGATGTACCTAATTGTTCTTTCTTAGGTTCAAATATCTATTTGTATCCATCCAGCAATGAGTTACTGGTAGGCCAGTACTGAGAAAATACATAATTTGTTTGTGATTTGCTAAAATTTTTGTTTTTTGAGACAGGATCTTGCTGTCACCCAGGTTGGAGTGCAGTGACGCATACAAAGCTCACTGCAGCCTGGACCTCCCGGGCTCAAGCAATCCTCTCACCTCAGCCTTCTAAGTAGCTGGGACCACAGGTGTGTACCACCATGCCTAGCTAATTTTTAAAATTATCTGTAGACACGGTGTCTCACTACATTGCCCAGGCTGGTCTCGAACTGCTGGGCTCAAGCGATCCTTCCACTCAGCCTCCCAAAGTGCTGGGATTACAGGCATCAGCCACTGCACCCAGCCTAAATTTTGATTTTTTGAGTAAATGATGCTGTTTATACTATTTTTAAAACTGTGAAAGATTACACTCAGACTTTCTTGTGTTATAGTTATATTTTTCCCTTAAAGTAGTAAAAACTATCCAAACACTAAAATCATCTGTTTTCAGACTATTAAAAGCAAGTAATCTTCCTACAAACATTCGGTGATTATCAGTTATGTTATACTGGATCTCCATCACTTTGAAACTGACAGTAGATCAATTGAGAGTAGTCAATCCTGCAAAGTAGGCAGAAAGGGCTTCTTGAATATTTATCATAATGTTACAGCATGAGAGGCCCTGCCCACCTCCACATTACCTGATGGTCACCTCCAAGAATATCAGGTGACCATCAGGTGATGGTCAGGCGGTTGTTCAACCATCTCTCTAAAATAATAATTGGTTGTAGTCGGCAACAGAGAAAGGCATGCTTTTAATAGATAGAAAACACGTAAAGCTGGTGATTAGCAGCTTACTGATAAGATCTCAGGAGCTGGGCAAGTGGGCTCAAGCATGCACACTAAGAGGCAAAGTGGCGGTGTTTAAATCGGTATATGAACTTCTCCTAGGAACGCTCGACTGGTAAGGGAAAAACGCCTCAAGTGAGCACGTATACAACTTCAGTAAACACACTGCGCATCCGACCCCTCCCAAGTGCTGGCAGGTCACTGCACATGCAGACAGCCCACCCCAAGGGAAGAACCAGGGGAGGAAAAACATAACCCCTTGAAGCATGCCAACATATAAAACACAAGTCAAAGGACAGACAGCACACTAGGATCTCTCAAGTTGCCCATTTGGCCCTCTTCCAAGTGTGCTTTACTTCCTTTCATTCCTGCTCTAAACTTTTTTTTTTTTTTTAAAGACTCGGTCGCACTCTGTCATCCAGGCTGGAGTCCAGTGGCATGATCTCAGCTCATTGCAATCTCCACCTCCTGGGTTCAAGCGATTCTCCTGCCTCAGCCTCCCAAGTAACTGGGATTACAGGCACCTGCCACCATGTCCAGTTAATTTTGTATTTTGTTTTCAGTAGAGACGGGGTTTCACCATGTTGGCCAGGCTGCTCTTGAAATCCTGAACTTCAGGTGATCCTCCCGCCTTGGCCTCCCAAAGTGGT